TCTCCCCCTCCCCCCCCCCCAGACATCAGCGGGACCCCAAGCTTCACCCCTCCACCCCCAACATGTACAGGAAGTACAGCCGGCGCTCCTGGGACACACAGGTGCGTCTGTGGAGACGGGCGCTGCACCTGTGGGACCCACCTTCTGAGTCCCAGCCTGACACCTTAGACTCGGACGACCCCGTGGAGCAGCTGTGGGTGGAGTCAGCGTCAGAGTTTGTCATGTGAAGCACAGGTTTGTGTTTGAACACTGACCCTGGTGTGGTCCTCAGGCAGAGCCAGCTGGCCAAGATGACCTCCGGCCTGTGTGAGGACGTAGGAGACAAGCAGAGAGAGAAGGAGACTCCGGCAGCTTCTGAAGCCTCCTCTGTGTCTCCTTTGTCCACTGGAATGTCACTGGAGCAGCCTGGACCCTGGAGCGCCCCCTTCTCCCCGGTAGGCAGTGTTTCAGGTGATGTTGGTCTCTGTTCTGACCAGTGACCAGTGACCAGTGTGGACCGTGACCATCTGCTGACCTCCAGGTCCGACAGTGACGTGATGCTGGTTAATGAAAGGTGTTGTTCTTTTCTGAAGGAGGCAGAGAAGAGCCACAGACCCCGTCGCTCTCCCCCCGGCCTGGCCTCCCTCAGGAATCCCCTGACCTCCAAGGACAACATCACTGATTGGCTACGCCTCATTTTGGATGCCGACCACACCCAAGGTAATGGCCCGACTGACGACATTTGACTGACAGGTCTGTGGTTGATGACCGACTGATGACGGACACTCTGCGTCTCTGCCCTGTGTAGACGTGGGCTCTGATGACCAGCAGGTTCCCGTCTTTTCTGACCACCTCTCCTGGAATCCCTACTGAAGGACGCCGACCGTCTGCTCTGGACTGGCTGGGTTTTAGGCAGTGTCCCGTCTGCGTCGTAGCTTCTCCAGCATGGACGCAACATCGCCACCATCTGGACATCAGACTGTGTTTAACCTGAATGGTTCAGTAGTGTGTGTGTGTGTGTGTGTGCGTGCGTGCGTGTGTGTCCAGAGTGTTAGTCTTTTAAGATCTCTGAATTGTTTCTGTGGCGAGTATTCTGTAGTAGGTGTGACCAAGAGAGGGCGCCGACGAGTGTGGAACCATATTTAGCACTTCCTGTCTCCAATGTTTTTCTGTTGTTGCACTTCTCACCTGCTGCATGTTTCGCTTCAGTTCTGCACCGGCTGAGGACTTCTGTCCACGTGTTCTTCTCGTAGTCACCTGATTTTTCTGGGTCGTTTGTCACCTCCTCCTCGGTCCACCCTCACCTTCACGCTCCGATGGCTTCTCCTCCACGTCCTTCTCGTTTTTTCTTAAAAACAAAACACTCGCTGATCGCGGTTTTCTTTTTACTTTTGTGTTTTCTGTCCACTTGTGCTGCTTGAAAATCAAGCAAGAGTTCAAATGATGTAACTAATAAAGATGTAAATAAAGTGTTATGGATTCAACCAGTCGGCTCACGGTGGCTGTCTTACTGTGGAGGCTGGTTCAAAACCTCTGTTTGTGACAGGGGGCGCTAAAACACCAACACTGGCAGGGGGCAAAACCCAATCTGGGTTTGAAACAGCAATCTTGTTGTAATCGATGGACCAGAGTTAACTCTAGACCAGCCACACAGTGGAACGGCTGGTTGCCTTACAACAAAAAACAATCACAGTTCGATCCCCTGTTTGTCTGTGGACTGGAACTGTTGGCCGTGGGGTGACGCTATAACAAAAGAATAAGTTGTGAATGTTGACAACAACAGACCGATTTACGGCAGTGAGAGGCTGCAGTCAGTGAAGAATCACAGACGTGACTGAGGCAGAGCAGCTGTTGTAGCTCAGAATCGCGTATTTAGCAAAAAGCGACACCAAACGATGGTTTCCGAACTCAAAACGTTTTTGTTTTTATTTTTATATTAAAAGTGAGTGCGAATAAAAAAAAACAGCAGGTGGCGATGTTGATGTTGTAGCCCCGCCCCTCCCCCTCAGTGCGCGCTTGTTATTTATGAATGCCCATCGCTGCTCGCGGTAGCGTGCACGCCCCGTGCACGTTTTCGCACGTTATTATGATGTTTGGTCGTTAGGAGACAGCGGACGCTGCAGGTCTGCCGCCCCCCCCCCCCCTGCCGCTCCTGCCGCCGCCGCGGGGAGACCTGAGTCGCGAACCCATTCATCCGGAAGGGCTGTTGTTTGCGTGTGTGTGTGCGCTGCTCCTTGATTACAATAATCGCAATAACGTTAGTGGGTCAACGCAGCGCACTGCCACCACCGCCGCCGCCGCCGCCGTCTGCAGACGCCGGACCCGCCGCACACGCACACGCCGATTCTTTGACCCGGAGCTGCTGCCCGCTAAGGTGAGTCCTGCCTGGCCTCACGGTGAGCATATTGCCTGGCCGTGTGCTGCTTGTGCCTGGTGTTAGCTGGTTGCTCCTTTCGCGGCAGCATCCTGCCTTGGATGTCTCTCCTTCTCCACCTCCTCCTCCGCCTCCCCCTCTGACTCACAGGCCGCCCACACATCTCCATCACCACACCTCCAGTATCTCTGCCCGTCAGCAGACAGGCCTCAGCCAATTATTCCAGAGCGAAACGGATGTCATTCAAATGTCAAAGTCGTCGCAGTGGCCTGCTGTGCCTCAGCAACATGTCAGCCTGGTAATTAAATGCATCTCGAGGCCGGCGTGAATCATGTCCTGCCGCATGTGTAAGTGTCTCTGCCTAATGTCAGCGGACAAACAGTCTCTCTGCAGCCGTCTTCCAGATCTTTCCTCAGTCACTGACCGTTCCGTCAACAGTATCTTCAAACTTCATGCTAAACCAAAGGCACCTAAACAGAAATGGATTTTCTCGGCGTCCTACGTTTGCACGCACATCTCATGTGAAAAAAATAAAAATGACATACAAATAAACTGGAACCAGAGGAGTGAACTGAGGGGTCAACTCACTTTGACCTATGACCCCTGTTTATGCAGTGGATGGTTTCACGTGTATGGGATCTGTAGTGTTTGGGAGCAGCTTCAGGTTGGTTTACAGAGACAGTTACAGACCCAAGACCCGGCATCGAACCATCGACCTGGCAACTGTTCCAACAGCCCTGTTGTCAAGATGCAAATATATCCAGACAGAAATCCAGACAAAGGCCGTTTTACGTCATATGTTCCGCTTCAATTGATTGATATGTGAACTAGAAATCGTTATTATTATTGGTTTACCATTGTCTTAGAACTTTTTGACTGGAGTTTAACGCCTCGTGTTCTTTCAAACGTCTCCATCTGACGTCCGTGGTGTCACAGCTGCATCTTATTCCTGATCGTTTGGAGCTGGAAACTCTGATGTTCAACCTCCTGACATCCAGAGCGATGCTGCCCTCCCATCCCCCCACCCCCCCCCCCCCCCCCCCCCCCCCCCCCCCCCTCCCCCCCCCCCCCCCCCCCCCCGCCCCACGGCCCCCCCCCACATCCCCACCCCCGCCGCTGCTGCTACAGGCAGCTGCTCTAGTCCTGGTCCGGTCCCACGGAGGGGATTTCAGCTTTTCATCTGGGCTCAAGTGTGTGATTGGGGTTTGGAGGAGGAAGAGGTGGAGGGTGGTCAGAGGTCCTTCCCCCGGATAGATACTCGGGGGTCCGGGGTTTGTTTATTAAAAGCTCCGCGGTCAATGCTGGTAGCTAGGCTAGCCCCCGTTAGCAGACCCGTTAGCCGCTGTTATGGTCCCTTAGCAGCCAAGCTAGAAGCTGTGGTGGTCGCCATTAGCTGCGCTGTTAGCTACAGCCGCCGCTTCGGTCGCAGCCTCGGTGGCGCTGCGGCTTCTCTGAGCGCCGCTGAACTGAGCAGCCCTGAGATCCTGGGGCCGAGCAGGAGGCCCGCCGCTCCGCCTGCAGCTGCAGGTTTGTCTCGGCATTAACCTGGTTAAATCCACTGTACCGACCTTGACAGTAATAATGGCATGACAGATTATTTACACGGTGCTAACGGGATACTGGGTTCACCGCAGATGGAAGCGGCTGCAGGCTGGTTTATAAAAGCCAAAGACTGAAATGGAATTATTTAAAACATGTTTTACATTTAGTTTCGCACAACGTTGATAATAACATAAACAAAACATTAACAGCCCGCGTCTGTTGGTGCTGTGGAGCCGTGTAGGTTAGCATCCTTCATAAGAAACAATGGCATCTGTTAGCCTCCAGCTAAATGTTGCCGTTGGACTAAAGCGGAGCGGCCTGGGAGAGAGAGCTGCCCCGCTGAGGCAGCACCGACAGGCCGCAGCTGTCCGGTCTGTGACCCCCCCCCCCCCCACCACCACCACCACCACCACTGTTACCACTAACACCAGTGAGACCATCATTACCACCATTAGCCTGAAAATAGCCTGAACACCATAACAGTGACCACGTCCTTCCACCACAGTCATGACAACACTGACACTGACCAGTCTAACCTCTGTGATCATTACCCCCCCACCACCCACCCCCCCACCTTCATTGCCATACTGTATTTTACCCTGAACTCCATCACCAGAGGTCAAAGTTCATCACGTCACCATAACCAGTGTAACTATAAACAAACAACAACAATCACAACAGACCAGAATCATCTGACAGACCAGTCTGAACTGGTGCCATTACCACACCCCCCCCCCCCCCCCCACTGTAGTATTGTTACCAGGAACATCAAAGTTCAAACCACATCATTACCCTGACGCATCAACAGGTTATTTACCTGTCACCTGGTGCAGGACTCTAACTGTCACCTGGTGCA